CCCCCCTATATTTGCATACATCTTTAAATATTCCACGAAGCACACTGAAAAATTGAATACTGCATTATTTAAAGGAAAGTTCAGTAGACTTTAAAAGCGTAACGAAACGACAGGACAATCAAGAATGACTGAGGACACTTTTTGCGTAACAGCTCGACAAAAATCAGGGCAATTAAATCGATCAGAGATTTACACATTGTTAAAAGCGATCATCGATTGACACAATGACTTAGTTCCCACAGCTAGTTCATCCGGAGCGTTCTACCTTTCATAGAGATATTTCTCTTTATAAACACTTCTAAACAGCTGCGGGGCCTCAGTAGCCCGAATAGATGTTAGAATCGTGACTGTTCATTTTTCACGGTCGACTAAAGACTTTATGACTTTCCCTCAAACACCCGTATTTACGTTCATCATTTTCTCTCGCCTCTGGGAGCCATTTTTTCCCCTCCTTTTTTCTACAGCCAGACAGTGTTTATCCAGACCACTCAAAGGAGCCAAGTTATTAGAACCGCGACGACACAATGAAGTATTCAATATTTCCTCAGCTCTTACTTTACCCTAATACAATCCTATCATCGTTAGCTACCCCTCTAAAGATCTTCCTCTAAAATCAATAGTTCAGATTCGAATAATCTCGAGTTTCCTAACTTATAAGCATAAACTTGGAACTACGAAGTGATTGAACCCTTAATTCCCGGGGGCGACTTTAGAATCCCTCCCATTAACATGGAATACGTAATTGGGAATTAGGGTTGGAACTTGCGAAAGAGCTGTTTACCTCCATACCGCGGACAAGCAGTAATTTCGTGGAATCTTGTTGCGTGGGCGAAGATGAGGTTGAGTGTTGCAACACGCGTGTTATTATCTCGGACAGGTAGGACCATGAAATTCACAGATACTGCGAGTTCTTTGCTCCCTTCTATCTACGTTAATATCGAGGTGAATTGGTCTGAAGAAAAATAGAATTAAAAAGAAGAAGAAAAAAAAGAGGGCCAAGACCCAGCGCCGACTGACACAGAATCCGTAAATCGTTATTGGGGTTGGAAACTGCGGTGTGGTTCTCCATTACACGAACCGCCATTACGCCTTATTGTGGTTATGCTGAAACCACAAACACGATCAGCCCTCTGATATTGTCATTGCCATCTCAATCGAAATGGTTATAGGAACCTAACCTCAATAATCTCAGCTTCGGAGAGAATTCCGGGCCGGATATCGAACTGATACTCAATGAAGCGCTGATTGATATTACCTTTTGTATCCACAAGGGTCCCTTTCGAATTTATCCATTCGACTGTAATATCGTATCCCAGAATTTCTTTTTTCAAATCACTTTGATGTACGTGTGTCGTCAATGTTCTATGTTGTATCGATATCCTCTCCTGGAAATAATTAAAAGTCGTTTATTAGCACTCACCATGATTGTAGGGAGTTCCCATTTAATAACATTAGCCAATACGGCGTCGGCATCTCATTTGTGTCGCCAAGTGGACAGATTAAATTTGAATTCAAAGTAGCTAATATAAATCTAAGTAGGAAGATGCTACGAGTGGTTCTTAAATACAAGAAGATTGAATAGTTTTTATATCCCAGTAGGTAATGTATATGGCATTATTAATTTATGACAATTCCAGATTTTAAAGTGGAGTCCAACTGAGCCAATAATCTATACAAGTATTTTCCTTTAATTATTATACTAGAGGCATCAGTGACTCAGAGAATTATACAGACAAATTAAATACCCACCATGCGAACCTCGTTGTCACGCGATACGTAACATTGCCGTTTCGCAAAGTAGAGTTCTTCGAAGCTAATGCGATTAAACGCATTAATTTGATGACCATAATTGTTTTTCAACTCTCTCTGACTCTCGCTTTTTAGTTCTCTCTCTCTCTCTCTCTCTCTCTCTCTCTCTCTCTCTCTCTCGTTCTCTCTTCTTCGTGTATACAAAAAATCCTTGTACGTGCATCCTGCAGATATTCAGATACGAAATTAATGCATGAAAATTATAAAAAACGAACAGTCATGAAATTCATTGAAATATAAATTAATTAAATAATTATTAAATCTTACACGAGTCTAAACACACTGGCTGGATTTTTACGAGGAAAATAATTTGTTCATACCGGAAACTCATAAGTTGCTCTTCCAGCAAGTAACATCCGCCGTGCGTTTTATTCATAACAGAAATTTTCAACACTACGCGCAATTTTGTTGTACATTAAATGCCAACGATATATCTACATGGCATTAATTTAGCAACCAGCCAATTTCCGGCCGACCAATTTGCGCTTTCTCTTCGTTTACCTCCATTCCATTACACAGCTTACGTGCGCCTTTTTTCCCTGAATAATAACAGCACCCACGTCGTAATTATTGTAATTATTAATATAACAATTTCATGCATTCTCAATCACAATCTTATCGCTGTACCCTTTGTGTTTTATCGAGAAAAAAAATCATTCAACTCGAAAAGATTGCCCAACGACACTTTATTGAATTAATCATATAAAAGCTATCATTAATGACAGCCACCATTGAGATTCTCTATCTATATATTTATACACAAGAGATACCAGCATAAAATCGATAGTCTACATAAAGTGTCATACATATAGTGTCTAACCAACCAACCAACTAACAAACCACTCAACCAACCAACCAACCTACCAACCTACCACAAGCGCACCATAGGAATTCTCAGTTAAGTACAGTTAGCTTATCTTGAGGGAGACCTTCTCCGTAACCTTGATGACACGTCATGCGAGAGGATACGCGTGAATGCAAATACAAGCCGCACGTAAATCCACGAGGGAGCAAAAATACCGCACTTGCAATGTAGACAGAGTTTAGGAGTCATGGCCGCCATTATTCCAGTAGGAATTCGAAGACTAGTAGCAGAAGTCTATTTACGAGAAGGCGAATCCTCAGGACGATGATTCTCATGTTAACCATTGGACGACAGATGGCACCGTATCCACGGACTGATTGTTTTATGGCTGTAATGATTGTTCTTTCTGCAATATCTAATGTCACTGAGTGCACATCATTTTCCACTGAAACATATTTGTTCTCTTTACCATACATTTTTATCATTCTATGGTAAATCTGCGATTTCGTTGTTTTCGACCTGTCAAAAAACATTTTCAACTTGTAGACTGTCTATAGGTCATGTACATATTAAAACGGATGTGGTTTCTACTATACTAACCCGTTATCTTTGACATGTTGACTTTGGGTAATGTTCCTGCATACGCCAAAGAGGCTTTACGCAACTATCGTAACTGTACGCGTGAGACGCGTGCAGACCTACTGACTCTCGGGTGTTAAAAGACATAACGACTTGCTTAACCTCGACCGAAAAACACCCATTTTCCGTGTCTTTGTTTCGTAATGTGTACGATACGTTCCAGCATATGTAGATATTAAAGGTAGGTTCTTGACGGGCACAACGCGTGGCACCTTTATACTTCTTGTTTCGCCACTTTCCTGTCAACAGTTATGTTTGTTCTGCGTCTACTTTCGAGGGACACACAACGAAATGATTCTGTTGTGAGTTTACTTCCGGTTTTTAGGCAGTCTCTTTGAGCTTTTGAACGACATTAATTAATATTGAATTCAAACCGATAGAATTTACTGTACTAGATGTAATTTAATCTAATTGTAAGTAAAATGTCTTATGATATTTGAAATTCGCAGCCAACGTTTTTTGGCAGAAAGATTTAATGAAATTACGTCATATGTAATTCCCACGTTAATCTAATGCAAACTACGAGAAGCCTGAGTCTGGAAACTTGTCCTCCTATCTTGTTCTTGTTTTATTGGCCATTTCTGATAATGGAAACTTGATACGAGCTTCTCAACACTTCCCACTAAGGTTCTGGCTTTTCAACTTCTAGAAGGTAAGTTTCAAACAAGTTTCCTGGATTCTACGACAGAATTTCTTGGTATAACTTGTTGATCAATTAAATCATACGTATGCGATAATGAGAAATAAATTACGTATGATTATAATCATCTGTCACTTTACTTTGCGATATAACCAGCGACAGACAATCTAAAGATAAGAACCTGGATCAGCAAACAGCTACAGATTGTAATACTCGTGTAATACATGTATGCCAATATGCCATGACGGAGTAAGTGGATCGACGTGCAAAAAAGAGATTAAAAAAATTGTCGCTATCGAAAACTTACCGCAAGAACGAGCAAATTTTTCTTTTCTCTTCATCTCTCCCTCTTTCTCTTTCTTCTTACTTATTCCAGGATTTACATAACTAAGCCTAGATGTATGTACGATATGATTCACGGAGACTTTCCCCGGTAGAAATACCAAGCATTAACTGTAAATTGATCTTCACGCACAATGTTCGAATTCACATCACATTTTTATTGCCGGACTACCGGAGTGAGAAATTAAAAATAAAAAGGAAAGAACATTAGAATAAAACAAGAGAGTATTTAAAGGATGACAGTAACCTGACCTGAAGGAGGATCGTTGGGTCATCCCACGGATTCTACAATGGAATGTGGAATGGATACTTCTCTTTCATCGTGCAACTTTCACCATTTTGCATTGTTTCCATTATATTGAGATACAATTGGATAATGTGCATGGTATAGTTATAGTTATATACTTGTTGTTAGACAAGATGACAGGTTCAGCATATTTAATCAAAGGACTGCTTTGTCTCTGTGAAATCACAGTGCGTATAGGTTACCTGAGAATCATTCTCTTTTGCAACCTCCTTAACGTTATTTCACACACTACTGATCTTCCTATTATTCTTATTTCTTATGTGCAGAGACAGTTTAAAGTGCCTGTAAAGATACGCCAATTGTACGGAGTATAATTAAAGAAGAATTTTCTCTTGTGCCTCGAAGACATTTTCTATCGTGCAAACATGGGCAGCTGTCACGGCTACTGAGAGGTTACGTTAGCTTACTTACTTAAAATGTTCCATGAAGAATTATCAAGATTCCAGAGATTGTACATCGAAAATCCTTGAATGATATAGTAAATTTGTCACTTGAAGGTAAGACCTTCGTCGAATATATGAGTCTTATTGTATTCTGTAAGACGTGATAATTATTTCCGGCACAAACTGTCGCGAGAAACGGGCGTCGTTGTCACCCATTTGAAAATTATGATCCGTGGATCCAAGTTGTTTCGTAAGCAGCCATATTAAACTTATACCCATCTACCATAATTCTCGAGTCGTTTTTTACCAAAGAAAACTAGCCGAAGTGTTCGTCGCGTCCCGACGCCATACGCGTGACCGTGACGCGTCGTTTTGTCTCCGCGACAACCTGGCGCAACATTTCGTATTTCCTCGATATAACGACGTCTCACTGTAACACCGTTCCAGGAGGGGACTCTCGATTTTCTACAAGTACGTATAGCTTTACGTTGCGTTAGACGGTAGGCGTAGGTTATAGTAAAGTAAGGTTAGATTATCCTGAAGTAGACTAAAAAGTTTCATAAAAATTTTTTAAAATCCGTCGCGTTCATTTCGAATGCGTGACAATAAAATAATTATTTACCCGGCCGAAGGTTTACCATGATATTCGCGGACATAGGTTTTTTAGAACGGAACGGGGCTACGCATTTCCTACTTTTTAATTGGACTTGACGATGATAAATTCTACGACTCTAATTGAACTACATAAATTACACAGCGAGCTGTCGTTCGCGGTGCATCTAGCCTACGTGTTATACACATCCACGCCATCTTGAATAATTCTCTAACGATATATCGATGCTCGGAAACGTGTCGAAAGTGTCGGACAGTCAATCCGTTCGATCGATCGATCTCAAAACTCGATTCTATTCCCGTTCCAGGATGATTACATCCAGAAGAACTTCCCGGAGCAAGAAGGAAGAGCTCGACGTGCCGGAACAATGAGACTACGAGCAATTAAGAAGAGAGAGTCGTGCCCGAGTCCGGTTCCAAGCAGGAAGGCAATTACTGCTTTTAATAAATTCAATTCGTTATCGGAATGAATCGTTGTCTTTGATCGTCGCGGTGATGCGAGGTGCAAGTGACCCACATAGGAAGCCAGTCGGCCTGTAGGTTGACTGGCTGACTGAATGTTTCGCCGCTACGAAGGAACGATCATCCCGGCTTGGTCTGTTACGCGCGGTGCGCGCTTTAAATGCATCTCGACCATAAACCTCAAGCCGGTATTACACGAGGAGGCCCCACCTGGCGATGAGGTTGCCTTTAATCGGTCATAAAGCTGCCATCGCTGAAATCGTGGTGCGTCCTTTTCGTACAACCGGTATGTACAACCTCGTGGACCTCTATCACCTATGGCTCCATTTTTTAAGAACGCTTCGTAACAAGCTCCATTTAACAAGCCTGATACTAACCCAACCTGTAATTTTGAGTATCCATATCCCAAGTTGGCTACATAGCGAACTCATATTTTTAAAGTCACTCGGTCAGCACGCTATCCCATAAGTTCCAGGTGCCTTCTTTGCCCTAGATTGCATTATCCATAATTCCAGAGTTTAATTAAGTCAGGAACATTGATTAATCTCATATCTTTTACGTCTAAGGTAATAAGTTAAATGGTACTTGTACTGCGTGGTCATAAAGTATCCGTGACGTAGCTAACAGATATATACACCATAATATCTATACTAATTCATGAGATGCGCGATATTTACATTGATCGCGTGTTTGAAAAAAAATGCCTGGGGTTAAGAGAATCCTAAGCAGCGTAATATTTTCTCAAGCTAATCGGCCTTTCGCTTCGTTTAAAATTGATTCGATATCACAGCGAACGGTATGCATATATAGCAGTCAGAAAAGTGAGATATGAAAAATAAAAGTAAGCCCCGTTCAAACCAAGAACTGCCAGTATACCAGGTGAGCGACCTCGGGCTTAATTGCAATCTCATTTACAGCACAGCTGTATAAAAGCTCTGAGGTAAAATATCACCAGTGCGTCACGTATGCATCCAACTGAATTGCAGCGTCGCTCATTCGAAATGCAAGGCAGGTCGTTGCGCCCTCGTTAGAAACGAATGAAAACACTTTCGTGATCGCGATATGCAATTCCAACAAAGGATTACAGGAAAGCGAGCAAGCTCGTGAATTCGTAACGAAAGAAAAGTTTCTTATCTCGACATAAGATGAGAAATACCGATTTTTAAATCTGGTAATCTATTTTTTTCCCCGCCAAAAAAATCTCAGTTTCATCAGGTATTATGCATTTCCAGTCTGAATAGCCGTTCGGTAGTAATACGTGCCACGCGAGTCGCGTATTACCTATCTGGTACAACGCTATGTATCTCAGCTCACGCATCTGCAATTAGCCACTATACCTAATGACGATCTTTGTTGTTAATTAGCCCAACTGCCTTCAGACTCTAGATCTCTTGGTAACAACCGTACAAGGAAAAATCAGAGTATCAAATTTTATAGCGTAAGAACAACCTTAAGTACATAGTACATATGTATACTTCAGTTTAAATATCTTTCGTGATGTGCTAAGTACCTTCAAAAGAGTGTGTATCGTGTAAAAAAGGACTCACGCAATAATATTCGAATATTCGTCTTGTATTCGAGTTACGAAACCCCATAATCCATAGTGGTACCACCATATAATGGACCCCGTAAGTCCCTTTGAGCGTGTGCTTGAAAACGGTCTCTTTGGTAGCACGCGAACCAAGGGTCACCATATAGCATTTTAAAGTATAAGAGAACGAGTTGAAAAAAAGAGAAACAGGAAAAAGGAAGAAGCCGCGTGAACCACGACCGTTTCGTGGAAACGAAATCGACGAAAACCGCAAGAGCACCAAATATGGCGTCGTACCGGTGTGAGAGACTTGCATTGGCCCGTAATTCAGCTATGCTAATGCGATCGGTAAGCTCAAGCTGGCCTTGGCTCGACTTCGCGATGATAAATGAATTTAGCAGGAATATATGGTCATCGATACATCAGAGTCACGGAAGTATCGTACGAGACTGATAAAAGTACTGCTTGACTTTCCTCGTACGAGTCAAGAAGAACTACGACAAGGTACATAACCATTGGATATTATGCATGGCGAGCAATTTTAAACGGGTGCGCACAGCTAGGATTTTTACGGGGTACGCACCAGTTACGATCCGAGAAAGGAAATCCAATTGGAATGGCGTAGCGTCCGGCTCTGAAAACGACGTACGTACGTAGACCGCCATTATCTCTTCAAGCGTCTGTCGGTAAGCCAGAGCCAGTGAGTCTATTTATTTGCTATTCATTGTTTTTGTCGAGCATCGTCCAACATCTGTGCCCCTTTCGAATAATGACTTATCGATCAGGCACGCGTGATGTTATTTCAAATTTGCCTCTTGTTTAGACCTCTGTCGTCGTAGCGTGAAAACGCGTTCATTCATATTTAACGGACGGACCATCTGCGCATGCGCGGCGGACATGTCGTTATAATCATTTCTCCATTCGTTTCGAAGCACTTCGAGACTCGTGTTTGTCCTCTTCATAATATCCGACCCCGTTATCTCACCGCGAGAAGTAAGTCATTAGAATACGTAGCTGTTCAACCGATCCTTTAGATCGGCCGACCAACGAAAGGGAATTACAGGTCATCATTGCAGATCGGACCCGATTACATTGCCGACAAGAGATCAGTATCTCCGTTCTCTCTCTCGAGGCGTTCGTTCTTATACGTTCTCTTGGTACTGTATCTACTTCTTTCCGTTTTCTTTTACGCTCAATCTACCGGCTATCGTTTACTTTAGTGCGCTCGTTACCCGCTAATGACCAACGCGGACAATTACTTGAAGTTGTTGGTGAAAAGGTGATCGTAATACGATTCCTAAGCGCGGCGCTTAAATTCAGGATACTGATCCTTCTAAATTTAATCACTCGAATGCCATAAAATTCTGTGTTATATGCGTCGGCTAGATGAATTTTAATAAATAGAAATATACTTTCTTGACTTTCTAGACTTGAGGATATATATATATATGTATATATAAATATAGCTAATCCTGATGAACCTGCACATCTGTACACTGTCTATCGACGCTCGATTAAATAAAATATCTTTTGATACCAACAGCACTCCTCCCGCCAGTCTCGCCACTTTTTGAAGTGTCCGCTCCACTTGACTGATCCAACGACTACGCCGATCCTGCGTCTCCACTTCACAAAGCCAACTTCAACTTGCTCCATGCGCGACCTCTTAATGGTGACTATTAATAGACTGAGCCATCAGTCGCGGGACTTTACGATAATGTGCCCGGAAGAGGATTCGTGCCAGGAGGTTAAACCATACTTCATGACCTGTACTTCACCTTGAGCACTTGTATATTCAGAAGGTACGAAATAGGATTGTGGTACCTTTGGCCCTTGTTCGCCTACCTTGAACCTTGTGTCCTTTTTCTTTCAGGTGACTCCTGAGGACTACCCCTTGTCAGGTTCAAGCTCAGTCATCGTGTGTGACAATTCTGTCAGTCATTTAACCAGTCAGTCAGTCAGTCAGTCATCCAGTCAACTAGCCACCTAGCCAGTCAACTAGTCAGCCAACCAGGAGGCCGACGGCTCGCCAGCTCGCAGTGTTCTTCAAGAGGTCGACCCACTTCGTTCAAAGGCGAGAGGGACCGTACTGGGTATACCTGGTGCCGCCACTATCTCTTCACGCTGGTACCTACTCCCAGCCCACTCCTCGCCATATCAGATATAGGAAGCACTTCGTACTCGGATGTGTGTCTTGTACGCTCGAATGCAGCGCAGCGCGGGCTGCCTCGAAACTCTTCTGCAGTGTGGTCTCCTCAGTTGGTGAACAAACAATCCTCGTGGATCTTGATGAAGAGACTCTTGGGGACTGGCAATAGAAAAATTGTATCGTTGCGGATATCCGAACTGTCATGTTAGTAATTTGTGAATACGAGAGTGCTTATATGGAACAGTGATAACTGTCACAATTGGACACGTGGTCAGTGACAACAGTGAATATTGATTTTCTTTTCGTGAGACGAGTCTGATGGGATTGTAACTGTCAAACGGTTACATTGGGGAAAAAATTTAATGCTCACGAATATTTTAATTATTTCGAGTATTTAATTTGCGAAAACAAAGTTACCCGAAGCTCTGGATTATCGTCCGCTGCCTTGCGAGACTGGCCGAAGATCCATGTGGGAGGCAGAATTAAAATATAAAAATAATTTAATTAATAGGATGGGTTTTCAATGTGATGCTACTGTGTAAAAGTTTATACACGTGTCGATATGTGTAGATCAGTGTGAGCGCTCCTTTATATCTAGCTGTACACTGTACATATACAAGTACCTTTGAGGATCCACGTTGTTGAAAGTCGATGTGCTTAAAATCGAAGCAGAAACCTGTCAAGACCTAATTCCGAGTGTACTTCAGCGAGGCGGCATCTTTTGTACGCGATCTGCACGCTGCAAAAGGTACCCCGGGAGACTAATTACGCGGAGCCATACAAGGCGCGAGTCTCCGGAAGTCTGCTAATATGACGGAAGACTGAATGCCTGAATCGAGGCAAACCACTGTGAGCAACGGTCGACTTCAAATCGGTAAGTAAACCATTGGAAATTGTTTCGGATACCTAAAAAAAACGGTAATTCCATTGTTTAATAATGAAAATAACAACAATAACTATTCATTATGAAAGTATACTTTAAGTAACCTGTAATTGTATACATTAATAATGCCATCCATTATTAATATAAATTATGAAAATTTCATATTTTCCCATAAAATTCGTTTTCCCGCTCTTTGAGATTTCTAAGCAGGGGAATCCCCGTTCGGGTGAGGATTCGGATGAGCAGCTATCGAGCGTAAGTAGGTGACACGAGGAGGAGACAAAAGAACGGTAACCCACTTACTCTGTGAGAGTGAAAAAAAAATGATGGAGATTCAAGCAAAATGCATTGTCAGGATCTTAATGCCAATGAATTGGCGCTTCAGCGAGGGGACGATAATTAGAAATTGGTCGTCGGGACGACATTTTTCGGACAACCGGGTCAAGTTACGGGCATCGAAAATGAAAAGTGATTTTCAGAATAGTCGGCGACTTTCACTGATTAGTCGCGCGTTCAAGTACTGCTATGCTAATTAGAGTCGACACCGATAAGACGCCAACTACGTTAACATTAACTATATATATATATATAAATAAATAAATTTATCTTAACCGACTGATAAAAAGTGAAACTAATTTTTCGGCATTTTAATATTTGACGTAAAAAAATATATATATATGTATATATCATTAATAACCGCAGGAACAAAAATCTTCATATACACTCCTCTTTAATGTCCTCTGAAGGTAATGAACGGAGAGCGGGAAATTGGAAAAATCAAAAAAATCATTCTTGACTTTACGACGCTATTAAAACGTAACTGTAAAACGGGAGGGAAGATGGTTTCTCTAGAGAAAGTTGGGGTGCATTGATGCTTGTTTGGTGACTTGGCTCATTCCGATATCGTATAAGATACCAGAATGCATTTCCGGATGCATCGATACCATAGTCATACCCAACGGCAACTAGCTTGATTAAAAATTTCTCTAGTAATTTTTATCGATTCACTGAAAATCATTAAAAGATTATAACAAGTCATCCCCGACATTAAGCATCGATATAAATTGCCTGATAACCATTAGGAATAGACATTATCACGCAAATGTTTCTAAAGTCTTACGCTCAAAGAAGCGACAACGATTTCTTATTTCTATCGCGACACTTTTGTATCCGTATAGCGAGTAAAAACTCGTGTACACGAAGAAAGTAGACTCGACCTCTCATCAACGCTGGACACGAGCTGACTCTAATTTACCCGAGAATATTATTTATCGACGTTATAACAGTACGGACGATTATAAAAACCATTAAAGATTTTCAAGCAGCTTTTTACTCTACCTATATACACAATATAGTACTTCGATATATACATACATAGTCGCTATGAAAAATCAATATCCTTATCCATTGACGCTTTTAATGACTCATAAAGTATTAACGAAGTATTCGGCTCAGTACAAATCCACGGAAACCGATTCTTGGTCACGAATACCGAGGGCAAAGGTCATATCGGTTCTCGGTTAATAAGTATAACGGCAAAAGATTTCTAAAAAAGGATCTACCAGGTAAATTGAAATTAGCCCGCAAAAACCTACTGGCGGTACACGTCAAACGCTCTCTAAACTATGAAAAATGTGTATGGAGGGAGAGTCAGGCATATTTCTTTATTCCTCGTATATCCTCACTTTGGCGAGGCTCAACGTGAAATCAAATCTATTGACTGTTAGCATTGAATCGAGCTAAGTGATTTCCGATATGCCCATTAGCGAGTCCCTGCCCTTATTCAGACGCAGTGCGGAATGATGCTGAAATTTATTGGACCATTCACTCGTAAACCACCAGCCAGTCGGATTGCGTGAGTCTATTTTCAGTATTATATATATATATATGACTGAAATCATATTACCGAATCAAGTTTGCTGTCTTTGATGAAAGATGGATGCGTACAGAAGCACAGTTTACTTTGATCTAACGGCAAAAGCCACAGGCCAACCATGTACAAACGTAACACGCGTACATGTGGTACGTAAGAGCGTCAAAGGTCAAAGCATATAAATGCGTGATATCCAAATGCAAATTAAGCAATTGGTAAATTCGCAATTCATCCGGAGTCGCCGTTAGAGAGTCGCGGTGAAAATGAGTCGCCCACACCTTCTCACGGGTACCCAGGTTCTTTTCACTTGGCAGCAGCGACTAGACGAGATGTTAATTATTCACAATAATATGCATTATTAACCCCACCCGGTAGTCTCATTGTCGGTAAACCAGCGGTACCTCTCATGGAAATAAATTCTCTCATTCTTCCTCACGTTGTCTGTACCGTTTATGTGCAGTTCTTCAGTGTTCTTGTTCTCGAGCGGCTTGGATTTTATGTTCCAGCATTATTACAACGTTACGTCCTCACGGGTAGAGATTTTCCATGGCATACGGCTTGCGCGGCTACCTGGACTTTTCACGAGCAACATGAAGGTACTGGGGATGCATAATTTCAGGGTTGACTGTCAACTTGAATTTTTTTTTAACAAAAAAGATTAATAGAAACAAAATAAAAATACGGTTTTTCAAACTTTACCATCGACAGGCTCGATTCTTATTCTTGGAGACTATGCATATCTTATCGCGGCTCTATTGTTATTTCTTGTACATATAACAATGGGTACGATATTTTAAGTCAACGGTGCGCCAATGCACGTACCAGCCAGTTGCGACACCCTAAGAAAATAAATTGTGTATTGAATCGCGTATCTGGACGTATTATATATACCTGTACGCAGTCACTGCGTAAACTGGGTCACTTTTACCCCCGCAGCCAGCATGTACGATCACGATCAGGATCACGAGAGACGATATATATTGTATATAGGTAGAAGCAAGTGTCTGATGCTGGGCGCGATTCATCTTCTTCGGGTATGGAAGATATCTGTGGTATAGTTATATGTATATATATATACCATATCTATAAAGTCTACATGTAAGTCTATATATTGCCTGGGGCTTACCTGTTCGGTCGACTCTTCTATCAAATGAACACATGTCCTCGAATCATTTCTTACTGTACGTCGTGGCTTCAGTGTAGGTGATAAGTGTTGTATTGGAACTGGAGTAAACAATCCTAAATCCCTCGAGTGAATTAGCAGTGACGTATTAGTGACGTAGTTGGATGATCCTGTTGAGAAAAGAGAAAAAAAAAGTTATCTTAAAGGTACATTGTAAGATCTTGAAAACGGTGCCGCCGTAACTGCGTGACACGTTTAAAATGCAAGGACCGTTGTGAACACCCTTTCTAGCTGTCATAGAAGAGCGCCATAAATTTAACCCGGAGATTCAAGCCGGACGAGATGTAAGCTGCTTTAAATGGCGAAGAAAGATTTCTAACAGGACAAAACGGCCGGCACTTAGAATCCAACCTTGCCAATCATTCATTCAAATCTACAGAGCGACGCTCTTTCGCTCTGAATCAATCTCCTGACTTGTGACTCCTTTCCTATCCACCTCCGGGTTAAAGAGACGACTTTGCTATATCGAAATCGTCCTGTAGTCTCTATTCGATTGCGCTAGGTATATTGTAAACAGTTATCGTTATACTGTAGCAAATTAATGGAATGTCCTGCACCATTTTCTTTTTATTCTGCCACAATTCATTATCGTTTGCCGAATCTACAAAGGGAGAAGAGCCACGAGATTTCGTGTAAGCTGCCTCAGGAAATTCGAAGCGATCAACATTTTCGGATGGGCGTTAAATTCCAGTCGCCATGACACTATACAAGTTTCGTAAATGCCACGTGTAACCAGACGAAAAGAACGTGGATAAAAATTCCCTTGGTTATTTTCCATGCTGCGTGACGTCTTGTATAATTACACTCGAGTTACCTTCGAAGATGATCTTGTTGTCACGACGTCGTAGGACGTCACAAACTCTACCAACCGTAAAAAAAAGGAACGCGCAGGACTTTCTTTCTTGGTTCTTTGAAGCAACCTCTTCTTTGGTCATCACAAGGAAGAGCGCCCTTGACACGATTTCTTGAACCTCCCTGGGGGTCATCCTTTAGTCACGAAACATAACCAGTTTACAAAGAATAACTCCGGTACTGATTTCAGATACGAAAGAGTTACTCGAGCACAAGATACATGGTTTTAGAAAAAAAAAGAAAAAAACAAGCATAGATTTGACTCAAAGACTCATCGTGGAAGAATCACGTGTTCATGCCGTTGAATGAACGTAGAAACGACTCAAGTGACTACTCCTAACAAGATTCTCATTCTATTCATCACCTACGACCTTAAATCTCCATAATATATTTTCTTCGCTTATTTTCTTTTTCTCTCACACTCCTTCGTACTGTGAATCATTAACCAACCACCGAACCAACTCTGTATTACATATGCGAAATAGTCCCGAGATTCTCTAGCTACGTTGCTCATACTTTCACTGGCAGAATACTCACGGCGTGAGTCGTGTCTCGAGTGTAGGCGGAAGTTACATATTAAAGTTACGTCGAATCGTGGACAGCACGAGTAGACAGGTGGAGATTCCGCACTCTCCTTCCATTGTGATACAGATTACTTACGACTTTTCTCTCTTGCAAAACTGGTATGCCCACGCTTCATGTAAATTTAATGCTACGCAGTGTTACAGTACCGTAATACACTTAAGAATTTCTAAGTATAGCTATAACCATGTGCTCTTACGTAACAGAATGTATATAATAATATATAATATAAATATATACATTGGTAATAACCTTTTCATCCTATTTCAGTCGAGATTCCATGCAATCCTTTGTTTCGCCATTTAAAGTACTACTCTAGTCGTTACGGCGCGACGCCAGCGCCATCTGTCGGATCATTCGTGAACGTTAGAGGAAAATAAGCGAAAGAAGTCATTTAAATAGAACTGACTACTAGAACGATCCTTTTTGGAGAACGTAAGACCCTTTCAGTACTGTATCTTGATCTTCTTACGGGATCTTCACGACCACATTGTTCGGTAG